AGGGCCAACTGATCGGAAGCCGATTAATCGATTATTAAAAAAGTTGACAACTTTTTCAATAATCGATTATAATCGATTATGTCGATTAGTTGTTGCAGCCCTAGTTAGGAACACACAGGATTTAAACAGATCTGTGAAAGATACAGAATCTTGCTTCTGTATTGTTAAAATTCTTTGCAAATCCAAAATTCGTTAACTCTGTATAGTTACAATGAGTTAATATATTCTGAATGAACTTAGCTGAATCATGACTGATGATGTTAAAAATGTTTGTGACAATCAGCAAAAATATGATCCAGTCATACTCCTGCTTGGCTGCCTCATAACTTGGGTAATATATAGTACTTGAGCCAGCAATATTGTTTTAATAAAATTTGCTTTTCTGACAATATCCTAATGCAGCCTGGTCCAACTTTTAGATGTTTCTTTATAATTAGCAAGCAAGTCGTGTAGATGACATTTTATAGAGTATTGGGGGTCTGTAGAAACTATTGCACCTAAATAGCAGTCAACAATCTTTATTTGCTGTGGGCAGCTGGAAATTGGGTGTGAAGTGGATTGAAATGGTAATAAAGTGGATTTTATCCCAATTTAAAATCAGGCTCAACAATCTGAAATTTTTATTTCATGGCTCCAACACTCCCAAGTGAGGTTGTTTTATCCTTGTCATCATGTCTGAGAAATATGGTAATATGAGGATCTTGTTGCTGCAAGAGGTTAAAGCACCAGAAGCAGTCAGCCTTCCCTGGTACTTCACCCCAATGGGAAAGAACTAGAAAGAGAATTATTGAGTACAATGGCCATGGCAATGCAATATATGAACTGTACCCTTTAATATGAGGCTCAAGCACATTGTTCGCAACACCTGGTACATATAATCTCATTCAATGTTGTCATAAGGTTTGGTCAGCATCAAGTTGGAGTATTGCTACATTTACCATATTTTGCAAGCTGAACTGTATATTAAAGAAACGCTCTTTATATGTTTATGGCTGTCAACCTATTGGAGATAAACTCAGATTGGTCACAAGTTATGGACATAGATGTAACCTTAAATAAATGAAGAGCTAGAGTTCTAGCAAGTATTTTGGTATCTGTGGTTACTGGTTAGTAACATAATGGGCTGGTAGGAGTCCTTATAGAAGGATCTTTGACTTGGAATGACTATAATAGCTTCAGACATAGCTAACTCAGAGGGTCTCCACATACACATTCTCCTTTGTACAGGAGTTGGGGAAGTAAAGTTAAGATATATATATATATATATATCTTTTTTTTTTTTTTTTAAACGTCTTCTGGAAGTCCATTTATACTTTGTGAGTGAAGAAATGAGGGCCTTAGGGAGATCAGCAAGTCTAATTTCAGAGTCTAAAAGGTCTCTGTCTTTTGGTGTCACTTTAAGGAGCATGAGAGTATCAGAATGAGAGCAACAAGTTTATTTGTTAGCGGTTGGATGTTTGGAACGCCAGATATCTTGCAGGTCCAGTACTCTCACCATTATTGCCAATGAGGTAAACGGATGGCTATTGGGATCTGGAGCAGTACCAAATCAATATTTGGATAAGTCCATTACATTGTCAAATACCCAAGGATAATTATTGCTCAAGAATTGTACAAAGTATTTAAGCATCGAATATGTGGGGTAATAAATATCAGCAAGAACAAAATAAATAGTACCCACAGTAGAATTCAAGACAATATACTGTAGCTGCCTGTGCACTCTAGTTTAGTGTGCTTGCAGGCGATCATTAATAAGTATACTTACGCCTCCAAAGTAAGAGGTACGACAGGAAGCCAAAAAAAATAATGATTTTTTCCTAATTGGTTTGGAATGACCTTTTAAGCTCCAGGAGAGGAATCCGAGTGGCTGCAGCTAACCCATTGAAGTTCCAGGCCCATATTATAATCAAGCATTTAGCATTCTGGATAAGTATAGATGCAGGCCAGCAACATGGTCACGTTGGAGTCCTCAGACATAAGATCTTGACTGCCGAGTCAGAAAAACAGTAAGCGACAAACAGTCAAGAATGAAGACCAAGGAAAAAAAAATGAGACCTCTGCCCAATTGGTTTGTTAACCTCAAAAAGGATCACACTGGAAGGTCAGTGGGGGGGAAAAGTGTATTCCAAACTACCATGCAGTGCAAGTCACCAGTGTTGATTGAAAGGATGAGGTACTGCCACTGCAAGGTACCTTAGAGAAGTAGATACATTGTGGAGGTTACACTGGGGTATGCCATAGGGTTCCTTCATGACAATCCATCCAGGACCAGGCAGCTGGAGTAGAATCAAAGAAATGTGTTTAACCCTAGCCTACTGTACTACCGCAAGTTTAGAGGGAATAAGGAATATGCAAATTACGAACTCAGCACTTGTAAGGAAAATCTGGAATTAAAACGAACTATCTCTAGCCAATCTTAGAATGGTATTCGTGTTCTAGTAGTTTAGCAGTTTAATTATCAAGGGCATAGGAGGATTTCCAGAGGGAGTGCTCGACCTGGTACTCTGTGGGCCCTCTCCATGGCAAAATGCACCAAGAGATGTTCACTTGTAAACATGTTGCATAACCAAGTCTCAAAGAATTCAGCAACATTTATACTTTAACCATGCACAGGGATTTTAATAACCATCTACTTCATATTGACACTTCTGTATATAAAAAAAAACACTTGCTCAGCTCTGTTAGAAATATTTCTTTCCTTGTGCTCTTTGGAATGGATACACTTTTGATAATAATAATAATAATAATAATAGCAGTAATTTTATCAATAGATGTCATGGTATTACAACTTATATTAACATACCAAAATTAAATAAAAAGAAATGCTAACCAAGTTTCTCTTCAATGAACTGAGGAAACGTAAAATGATATAAAAAGGGCTTTATGGCATGTTAGTATTTATTAGTATTTGCAATCTTGTCTGTAGGCAAAACAAATGACAGCTCCAGATGGTGTTTGACCTACTTTTCCACTTCCCTTACAAAAAGCAAAAACACTTTACTCAAACATAGGCTCCAAGCTTTTGAGCAATGTGTTTTGAAATTGGGTCCAGAACACGTTCAAACTCAGCAGAACCAAACACTTTAGAAAGACATATCTAGCGCTGAACATAAAAGCCTTTATTTATCAGGAGAAAGAACAATGTAAAAAGGTAATACAAACAGAAAACATATTTTTACTGTGCTGCCTATTATGAAATACAGGAAGATCATAATCTATGGATCACCGCATATCATTGGCTTATTAAAGGAAACCTGTCAGGATTAAAATAAACATAGGATGCAATTGCTAACCTGCTTATGAGAATGCAGGTGGGCTGGATGTGTGCTGATCCTGGCTACACTTTAAGGGCCGGTTCACACTATATGCGTTTGGGCTGCATTGGTCATTTATTCCAGTGCAGCCCGAACGCAAGACAAGGCAAATTGCCTTGTCACAGGTGGGCTTGGTTCACACCATTGCATTCCAGTGGTGTCTACTTAAAGTATGGCAAGCGCACCACAGTGAGCCCATAGAAAGGAATGAAAAACCAAACAAACAATCAAGCACATCGGCACTGTTCAGGGGCATACACACCAGCAGCCATACTCATGGCTGCTGGTGTGCACATACCCTTAGATTTGACATGATACATGCTTGCTCCTGGTCAGTGACTCGCAAAATACTAAAACCAGAGGATAAGCATGGCAGACAACTGGCATTTTCAGGAGGAGGTCAACAATGACAGTCTTCATCTTTCATAAGTCTCCTTTAAAGTCACAATACACAAATACCAATCAAACTTTAAAAGGCATACAGGAAACTAAGGCTACCCGCACATTACTTTTATTCTTCATTTAGATAAAAAAGCAGTGCAACAAGCCACCTCACTGCTTAAAATGAATGTGTTGATGGAAACCTGGTACTCTTAAAGCATCAATTGCAGAATGTTGTAAATGTGTAGGCTCAGTATTCCAAGCTTTTCTTGCAGGCTTCTTTCTATGTTTTAGACAAATAGAAAAAGGGCAGAGGCACAGCCCCAAATCTAGTAAACATCTACAGTCCTGACCACCAATAAATGTGAGAAGCTTGTAGAATCTGGTTGCACTAGATTTAATAAAATGCAGATTAGGGGACACCTGTCAAACAAATATATGGGACTGCTATAGCTTACCTACCTCTGAAAGTGCTAGTTGCCTGGTTGTCTCTGGCTTCAACAAAGAATCAGTGACCCACAAGAAGAAAAGAGCCAGTGAAGTCAGAAGTCTCTATCTGCATGAGCCAAGCAACAAGGATTTACAAAAGGAGCTGGGTCAGCAATGGCTGACAATGTGGTGCTTTTCTCATGGCAGGTTTAGGTCAGGAGCCTTGTTTCCTGCAAAGAATCAGTTTACTCATTCTGCTTGTTGCTAAAGACCAAAGTATATCAATACATTTATTGCAATATTTCATTTTGCACACACATACATTTTCATTGATGAAAAGTATCAGCAAGGAAGCACAAAAAGTACTCAGGTGCATTTTATACGTAAACTAGTGATGTATGTCATTCTGTAGATGTCATTTCTGTAGTGCTTTTCGAGTGAAAGTAGACATGTGACTAACTTCTATAAGCAACAGCCCAGTTTTTATATATAAGCCCTGCATTTCTGTACTTGCAAGTTTTCCTGGATGTCTAAAATAAAAACCCATAAAGCCGCCCTCTATTCTCCTTGCAGAAAAAAAAAGAACTCCATGCCTGTGAAAGAAGCCAAAACCTACGAAAACCCAAGGCAGTCCGAGATGATCATCAACCGTGGTAGACTATGGCAGGAGAGATTCAAATGGTGCGAAGTCTGGGAGTCCAAAGTAGATTGTTAATGCAAATAAATAGAGCAAGGAGTTGGAGAATCCCACACTATTCCCTCTACTCCAAGTACAAATCTACAACATAAGTTAAAAGTCTCTTCAACTATAAGTTAGTTATGTACACGGGTATTCCCCCTACTAATAGGAAGGATGATATTAGTTCAAACTAGTGTGTGTTTATTTACAATTCAATAAAAAGAAAGGCAGAAAAAAAATAAAAAGCCTATAAGTGCAATTAAACGTAACGCCATTTTGTGCTTTCCTGCATAAAAGTATTGCCAACATTCTTCTATAATTTTGTTTTAACAAGTTACTGAGTGATTTAGCACACGCTGTACAATAAAAAGGAACCATCCTGTGCACATTACAGTACTACTTAATGTAAACATGCACTCCGGGCCTCCACAGTGGTATTAGGTAAATGATCTCTGCAGAGAAATCACAATGACAGGTAAGGGATGTGGATGATGTTAATACAGTGTCTCATAAATGTTTATAATGCATGATGGTCAACTAGTAGTGTTGAGTTTGCTCCACAGTCAATATACTGGTATGTCTCCAAAGAGCTCTGGGATGTGTGTCCAATGTAGGAAAATTTCACTGATGTTCTACAAGGGAAAATGGAATGAGTTAATTTTAAAAGTCACAAACCTAAAAATAAACATTTCATGACATGCAAGATTACCCAGTCTTTAGCACCACAACAATATCCAGATTTTTAAATCACTTGCCACTGCTGGGAATATATGCATTTTCCAGCTAAAATTTCTTGCTTTTGCCTTAAAGGGTCAGTTCACCTTTCTGGACATTTTGCAAAAAAATCCCCATGCATTTCCTCATCCCCATCACACTGGAGAGCACTGTTTAGGCGTTACAAAAACTGCCCCTTTCCCATTCCATACCTGTAGGTGCTGCATGGCCTGAGTACAAAAACCTCTAGGTGGTCAAAACCCCTCCCGTCCTGGCTGAACAGCAGGATGGGCTTGATGTTAGAAACGCACTTCCAGCAGCTGATTATTCAAACTGCGCCAATGTTCAGTGCACTCTCTTTGAGCTCAGCTGCTGGAGCTAGAGGCAGAGAGAGTGTACTGCAGAGTGCATAGGCACTACTTAAACAAGCAACTGCTAGGGCCCACTCCTAATGTATAGCCCATCCTGCTGTTTAGCTTGGACGAAGGGGTGTCAACCACCTAGAAGTTTTTTCACATGGGCCGTGCAGCACCTACAGATATGAAATAAGAAAGGGGCAGCTTTTTTACCATCTAAACAGTGTTTTGCAATGTGCTGGGGGAAGATGGAAATGTGCAGAAAAGGTGAATTAATCTGCACTCATGGCGTGAAGGGAAAATAATGTTCTGCATGTCATAGCAGAACAAGTTATGAGAGGCAGTAGATTTAGACAAAGCCAGTATTTACTGATCTACAGCTGACAATAACTATCTGATTATACGGACATAGGGAATACCGATAGAATATGAAACAAATACAGTATATTCATGCAATGTTTTCTATGAGGAAAAGGATCACTAAAAGGGTTACAAAAGCACATTGCATTGGAACAGAACCTAAAAATATTGTATGTTATAGTAAACATCTAGTGTAATTGTACAAAAGCAGTACCCTGGAAAAAGTACCCTTTGTCTGGAATTCCTCCTGAAAGATAGCACCGCACCTTCTGTTGTGTTGAGTTTATGGACACTGCTGTGTCCACATTCTCATAGACATAGATCTGCAGTATGAATTATCTAAGGCACTGCTGCATCTAACTGCTAGTGTCAGGAGATTTGGTGATGTCACTACTGTACTGCTCACCGTTTCCGTTGCTGGAGGTTCTAACCTTTGGAAGAAAAACCATTCCACTACCAAAATGGTGGCTTCCACACAGAGAAACAGTACAGAACAAGGCACATCAAGACAGTAATGGGGAGATATCAGCTGCAGTGAGACCACAGACAATACTGATCACTAGTCCACTTGCCCTGTGCCTGATTCTTTGGGCAGTTTCCACAGCTCTTTAAATAAAAAAAACACACAAAACTTGTATGTAAAAATACTCTGAGAACAGGAAGTTGCCGCAGAACGTAAGAGAAAAGCGGAAGCAAGAAATAATGATTGTTCTCTTTCATGTATGTATTAGGCCTCAGCTGCCAAGCTACATGAATCTTCAGAAATAAACAGACGTTTCTGTACCAGCATCTGTAGCAAATGTAATAAAAGGGTCTTTACAGACCCAAGATAATTGTGTTTGAAATATTATTAAAGGCTTTTCTTTGACCACCATTCTAGCAGTAATGACAATGCTGCACGAGCTTGCACAAATGTTCACTACACAATAAAATTATCTTGATGCACCTTTGTTCTGGAAAACTAAAAGTAAAAACACTGGAGGGGAATTTATCAAACCTGGAGCAGACAAAATCTGGAGCAGTTTCCCATGGCAACCAACCAGCTTCTCTTTTTCCATTTTCAAATCTTAACTGAGCAAACGGAAAAGAGAAGCTGATTGGTTGCCATGGGCAACTGCTCCAGATTTTGTCTGCTCCAGTCTTGATCAATTCCCCCCACTATCTCCTAAAATATATTCCTCATCCGCACTTCTGCTCCTGAAGCTAGATGCAATGCTCTAACAATGCTTCATAGAATGCATTTATTTGCATCTTTGTCCTTTATGAATTTTAAGCTACAAGCATGCACATGGAAAATCTTACTGGTGTGAATAAGCCACTATGCTTCATTTCCTACTGCGTGTTGTAAGTAACAGAGTAACATTCCCAAAATAATACTGTACTTTTATTAGGTCTCGTTCACACCTAGGCGTATTGCATATGCGCGCCTGTCGCGTGTTTTTTTACCGCGATTCGCAGTAAAAAAGTTGCGCAACAAACGCTACTTGGCTGTATCCCAATGATAAAGCGCAACAAAACGGCCCAAAGTAGTACATGTACCTTTTCAGGCGTGGGCCGTTTTGTAGCGCGTTAGGGACGGGCGGAAATACGCCATGGTGGGAACGAGACCATTGAATACAATGGGATTTATATTTTTGAGCGTTTTGTAGAGCGTTCGTCGAGCGTAGAACGCGCTACAAAACGTTCAGGTGTGAACGAGGGCTTAGTCTAATCTTGCATTTAACAGAACAGTGTAACTACATAAAGGGGAACATTTGTTGGATCTTGTATTTTAGAAATCCGATTTGTCATATGAATTTTGACGTGTCTTGTTAACGTAGCCTAGTAACCTAAACAAGAGACAATACAAACAAGGAGTACATACCGCACAAAAACAACAATGTTGTGAACTTTCACTGTAGACAATGTGCAGAAGTTGCTGATGGGAAAAAAAGAAAAAATATTATAATAATAATAAATAATAATAATAATAAAAAAATTCATTCAAACACACAGTTTTGAG